CATATGGCTTAGTTGGTAGGAGTGATCGCTTTATTCTTTGATGGTACCTACAAGGGAAAAACATCAACAATTTTAAGATAATCTCGACTGCATAATCCTCAATAAAAATTTCAGACGGGTGTCTAATCTAATAATGAGAAAAAGAAGAAGTAAAAGGGTAAGAAAATTTGGTTGCTTCTCAGTAAGTTTTGGTTAAGGTCATTTACTTAGTTGAAATGATCAATCAAGCCAGGTTGATTCGAGCTTTGAAACCCATGCATTGCTTGCAATTACCGACTTTGCAAGGGTTCCCAAAATTTTGCTCCATCATATCCACCAATTTTAGAGCATGTTTGGCTAAACTTAAAATTCAATTAAAATTGAAAATATGGCTTTTATTGAGTTTCACTCATCTAATAAAAGTCAACAATAACGACTAGTTTTTCAATTTTAATCTCTACCTAACACGCCCTTAACCTTTGGTTTATGCTCTTCCTTTCCACAATCTTCGGTTTACAATCATTTTGCTCGATTTCATCAGGTCATCAACTCTAAAGCAATTTTCTTGTCTGGCTAGTGGCTTGAGTGAATTATACACTGAATATGGCTTCGTCATTCTGTACGTTCAAGATAAGCTCATATTTCTCCACATTAATTAGAACTCGAGTTGTTGCGGTAAAAATGTTGACCCAAAATCACATGCATATCATAGTCTTCCTCAATGTCAAGAATGATGAAATCAATCGGATGGACTTTGTCCACTTTAATGAGTACATCCTTAACCAAATCTCGAGCGCGCTTGGTTGACCGGTCAACTAGTTTTAGAGATACCATAGTTGGCTTCACCTTCCCCAAAACAAGATTGCAGCCTGGTGGTGGTCGTTTTGCGATCTAGATTGCTAATTTTTATTCAATCATTTTTTAAAAAATTTAATTTTTCTAAGATGGTGGTGTTGATGCCGTTGATGGCATGATTGCTTTGTTGATGTATTGTTAAAAGGATGAATCGCATCTTTAGCGATCCCCACCTGCCCTGCCTTGAGATTTAGTGAATGAGGTAAATCGCAGGTTATGCCTCCAAGGGTATAGGGTGGAAGGCTGCTTGTACACTTGCACTTACCCAATGGCCAAATCCATATTTCAGGATTCGAACCCTTGACGCGGCAGCTTCAAGTAAAGTTGGAGTTTTTTCACCTTCTCCTTTTACCACTTGGAGATGTGTCTGGGGGCACATCTTGTTGATGTATTGTTTGACTATGAGTGGATTGGATTAGGATGGGTGGGGTCGGTCTTGACAGTGGATGGATGAGTTTGGTTAGAGAAGATAATTTTTTTTTAAAATTTTCTTTTGATCTCTAAACTTTTAAAAATGTCTTCTATTGCTCACTATAAATTTGAATTTAATTAAGCCTCCGTTTATCTCTCTTTCAAACAAAAATATTTAATTTTCTTACTCATTTTTAACCATATTTATACAATAAAATATTTTAAACGCAAAAAATTTTCCAACTAAAAATCACACATTCTCCAAAAAAATCACTATTTAAAACTCTATTTTTTAAAATAATGGCCATCAAATAGAGGCTAAAATTCATTGTTAAAAATCAGATTTAATTTAATTTTAACAACAAATATATTGTGTGTTTCATTGCAATTAGTGGTCAATTTCTTTGCACAGCATTATCTATTCCACGAAAAATAATTATTCAATTACATAATAGTTAAATTTAAATTTAATTTATCTTTGTAAAATTTAAAGCTATTTTCATCATAATATTTTAATTTTACAACGAAACAAACAATAGATTTATTTTTAAATAAGATCAAATCCAAATTTATTACGAGTCATAAAAGACATTTTTCGAAGTTTTGTGACAAAAAACTCAACAATCTCAAAGTTTAGTAGTCAGAATTTGACCACATCAAAGTTTAACAGTATGACGGTGCGTCACATGTGCATTCCGTCAATCATCAATTTTGTTAGATATTTGAAACATAAGTTATGCCAATGACTAACGTTCAACGTTTTTTAAAGTTTAGAGGTCAAAACACTACATCTTAAATTTTAGTGAGCAATCGAAAATATAAACATAACTTTAGTGACCATGAAAACAATTAACTTCCTCATTTACCCCCGCAAGTGACGTTA